GACTACACACCCTAGCTACCACACAATGGCTACCACACCTTGACTACTACACCTTGACTACCACACCTTCGCTTCTACTACACACCTTAGCTATACATGTTCTCCACACCTTGACTACCACATTAACTCCCACATCTTGGATACCACACACCTTGGCTACCACACCCTGGCTACCACACCACACCTTGACTACCACACCTTGAGCACTATTACCATAAATAAAATTAGTAATATAAATTAATATAAGTTAACATAAACTTAATATATTTCACAATAATTATTTAATACATAAATATACATAAAATATACTGTACATATGTATTAACAAACCTATAATAAATACATCTACAAAAACAGTAAACAATTTTGGAAATATTAAATACAGTTTCTCTAAATTAAAAAAAAAATATCACATAATTTTAACATCTAAATAAATAATATACAAATAAAAAAAAATACAAATATTAAATTAACAATAAAATAATCTACATAATGTATTAAATCCTTTCGTTAAATTCTATAAATATTGTTTTCCTCATTTGGTTTGTGATTTTAATGTGTATATTGTAACATGAATTTTTAACCCTTCATCCTGCCCCTTCCCACCCTGCTCCAAACAGCCAATAATATCATAGATCTAACCTGCCCCAGCGGCGTTCACAGTATACCATTAATTCACTTTTATTACACTTAAGTATCAATATGCCGTACATAAAATCCACAAAACACATAAAGTGGATTTTTTTTTTATTCCACGGCGTCTGACCTCCGCCTAAGATGGTTCCCTGTTCACTGCCAGATCCACGAGGGACAACAGGTATATATGCACTCGCGAAGACGATGGGTGGAATCTGATTGGCTGATTATCGAACCAATGAGGGATGAATGGCGGTTAAAATTGGTTCGTTTTTCTTTCAAATCATTTTTTTTATTAATATATTTCGTCTCATTGGTTAGCGAATCAGCCAATCATGTTCATTCTTTCCATTAGAGACAAAGTTGCATACGTACACGATTACTAACAACTAAGTGAATTACAGGTTAGAGATGATAATGTGAACTTAATCACCCCCTAAAAAAAAAGCAAAATAACTCTTATACTAAAAATTGATCTCATATTTAATTTATTTATCGAAAAACAAGAAAAATCACTGCATTAAACCGGAAGTGACGTCACGCGCGAAAACCCCCTCCCCCAATATCAGTCGGAAACACAAGAACGTCGATAATGTTTAGCCCATATACATAATGTTTAAAGGAGAGATAGATAAAGAGGGAGATAAATAGAGAAAGATGGAGATAAGGAGACAAAAAAATAGAGAAAAGAATGCAATTACGATAAATCTGGATATAACTACAACTTGTGTTAAATACTTTCAATAGGGATACGTGCCTCTATAATTTCTTCCTCACAGTCAACTACCTGTTATACTGTAGTCTATTGATTAAAACTTTTAAACGCACAAGTTTCCTCAAATTTTCACGAAACAAACTAGGCTACGAAATATTCCATCAACTAGGCTACTATAATAAGCTGTAGGAGTTCGTGGTATAATGTTGTCTAGAGAAGTCCACTTACAACGCATTTTCACAGGATATAATTTTTTATTACTTTTACACCGGATAGGCTAACATTTTTTTTTTTCATTGGATATTTTCAGTATAATTTATATCAATAAAACATATAAATAAATATTGGGTAATATAAGAAAGAAAAATATGATAAAATTTGGGTTTTGGAATCTTTAATCCTGAACTTAAATGATGCCAGATTTGGTTTATGTCCAGGGAATCTTGTCCACAATTATCCATGATATATACAAATATAGAAATAGAATAGATTGTACAGTTTATAGGCCTATAATATACCAAACTAATTACATAGGCTAATTAAGTGAGATTTAACCCAACAAACTAATTCAACTCAGTACATTCGGTGGATAAACATCATTCGTGCTCACTTACTTCACTTTAGAACCAGCAGGTCTACACTATATACCTAGACCCCTTATATTATAGTTAGAACCCTTATATCATAGTCAGAACCCTAATATTAGTTAAAACCCTTATATTATAGCTAGGACCCTTATATTATAGTTAAAACCCTTATATTATAGCTACTGTAGGACCCTTATATTATAGCTAAAACCCTTATATTATAGTTAGAACCCTTATATTATAGTTAGAACCCTCATATTATAGTTAGAACCCTTATATTATAGTTAGATCCCTTATATTATAGTTAAAACCCTTATATTATAGTTAAAACCCTTATAGTATAGTTAGAACCCTTATATAATAGTTAAAACCCTTATATTATAGTTAGATCCCTTATATTATAGTTAAAACCCTTATATTATAGTTAGAACCCTTATATTATAGTTAGAACCCTTATATTATAATTAGATCCCTTATATTATAGTTAAAACCCTTATATTATAGTTAGAACCCTTATATTATATTTAAAACCCTCATATTATAGCTAGGGCCCTTATATTATAGTTAAAACCCTTATAGTATAGTTAGAACCCTTATATTATACAAGCACCCTTACATACAGCAGAACCCACTTATATTAAGACACATATAGTATAGCAGACCCTTATATTATAATTTATATCCAATAATATAGTTAAAACCATATATTACACAAAAACCTTATATTACAGCTATGACCTTATATTATAGTTCAAACCCATATTATAGCAGAACCCTTATATTATAGTTCAACACTTATATTAGCAAAACCCACATATTATACTTACCCACATTAAAGCTCAAACCATTACAAAGCTAAAACCTTACATTATACACCTAGAAACCAATTACAGATACATAACCAGAAACTTCATAAATATAAAGAACACTTTTACAGTAGCATCCACCACTATATATACAAGAAGACAACACACAATATATAGAAGCTAAATTCATATACCTAGAACCCTATATATTTAAAAGAACCCTTTGAATATAAACTAGAACACTTATATAACTAGCCCATTATACATGTATTAGGTTTATAGCGCAACAATAGAATGTGTAATATTATATACCAGAACTTTGTGTTATATAATTAAGACATTTAGCTATTATAACCCTTGATATACAGTATTTAAACAACAAAACCCTTGATATATAATTAATACTGCCACCACACAGAACACAAAAAGAACCTAAATTATCATTAAAAACAAAAAGGAATCCGTGTTATTGGAAACTAATATCACTTATGCACTAATAACAAAACAGCAAATGACAATGAAGTGAACCGTATGAAAAAAAATGTTGCAGAATCCATAATGAGAACAACTTCATATTTCACTAATGTATAATGTACAATATAGGCTTTGGGATGTGTGATGAATAACCTGCTAATTATAATAGGATGAATGATTGTGTCTAACCCCGACCCACGTGACCGATGTTGATTCAAATTTACATGAAGATAAATTACTGAGAATATTAAGATGAAATACTTTGGAAGTATTATTATATAAGTATTTTTAGATGTGAATTGTCAACAGATAATAATAATAATAATAATAATAATATAATAATAATAATATATGTATATAATAATAATATATGTATGTAACCATATGTAATAATAATAATAATAAACTCCTTTGGTTCAACATCAAAGGTAAAACTATGCTTCATAATTAATTTGAGTTCCAACTAAGGTCACACGGTATAATCATAGTTAAATTCTTTAAGGTAAATCCACATGAATCAACACCGAAAAAAGTAGAATTTCATGACATACTAACTTTCTAATCTCATGGAGCCTAATACATAAGACACATTCAGACCTTTTTCAGACGACTGTACTTTCAAGGGCTGACCTATGTAATTACTGTAACGTGTTGTAACTTGGTGAGTTAATAGCATTAATTCTTTTCTGTACTTATCAAGGTCTTTCAGTTTATATAGCGAAGAGTGTGTGTGTATACTGTGTGTGTGTGTGTGTGTGTGTGTGTGTGTGTGAGGGTAAAAGAGGATGTATATACGCTGACATACACTCTTGTTAATAATCATAATACAAACTGGAAATAAATAACACCATAACTAATCTATCCCAATACATGTTTGGTTACGACGCAGTCATGATAAACAACTATATTTACCATATATGAACTAATTACTATTAAGTTGGAGTAAGATAAACAAAAATTGTATATACTTGCAAAAACGTCCCAACTGAGTTTTCTTAATTAAATGATTACGTGTGTGTGTGTGTGTGATATTGTGTGTGTGTGTGTGTGTGCGTGTCTTGTATACAACACCAGTGCGTGTATAATAATGCGTGTTTCTCGATACATCTGTGTGCGTGTCTTGTAAACATTTTGTGTGTGTGTGTGTACGTGCGTGTCTTAATACATTTGTGTAAGTCTTGTGTACGTTTATCTTAATGTACGTTTGTTTGTAATTTACATATCAACATTAAAACAATAATTACAGGTAAAAACGATTTAATACAACAGAGATTCTGCAATGGTATTGTTTTTGTATGGCTGTGGTTCATGAACTATCACTAATCACCTTGTTTCAGTACATCATACAAAGTGGAAATGCTTACAGTACCTTATGTGTTCATGTATAAAATGGATACTGAATCCAAGTAATAAAAAGAAACTAATTACGCATTTAACAAGTTACATATCATTTCATAAAATTATACCCTCTACCTAGTATATTAAACGTATATATTTCAATCTATATAATCTCTATATTATATTGATGTTTAGTTGAATAACAGTTAATAATTCCTTTGTCATATAGTTGTAGTTAAAACACCATTATAAGACCATAAGCACCGTAAACAGATTCTAATTTCATGTAATTCACTAAACAAACCGGTAGGTGAAAAACTGTATACCCCTTGTGTTCATTTTATATTCATGGTGGTTTATATATTTGAAAAGAATGGAAATAAGGATATATAGAGTCCGTGAGAGGATCAAAGAGTAAGAGTTTGATGAAAGATTAATACTTACGGTGTAGAGCATCATGTTAGCAAGCGAGGTGAACGAGAGAGGTGAAGTGGCGGCCCCATGTGGACAAGTATCAACCTCTACACACACCACTACTAATACCCCCTTTAACACACCAGCGGCTCCAACACCACTATCACCAACACCGTCATCACACTCCTTCATCACAACGTTAAACACTCAGCGGTGTATGAAATTCTTGAGCTCCAACTTCTCTGGAATGCCGAGCAGCACCCCAGACAGTTTGGCCTTCTTCATCTGTCACACACGCATCATCTTACCATCTATCTCTTCATTTCTAAACGACTTCACCGAGTTAAGAACACGCACACCTTTTCCGAATCACCAACGTAATATGGGAACACATTTTGAGGTTTCTTTTCACTAGTATTTGGAAGTGGTAAAAAAGAAGTGAGAAAATGGTCACCTCAGTCGTCCCTATCCCCGAGCATCTTCCATTCAGTGTCTTATCTGCCATTTTGGGTGGCACGCAAACGCACTCGCCGCCCGTAAATTAATCCCTATGGTGCCATCTCTCGGTATGTAGAGGCAACTAGCTCCTACTCTGCTTCCTGGCTACTTCCTGCTTTAGGTTCCAATTTTCACTCGCTAAAATCTATGGAAATATAATTAGCATCCGCCGTAATCAGTACATCACTATTGATTTGTAATCTCCATTCCACATATTCAGTAAGGGATGATAGCGGATAGAAATTATATTGAGGGAGTAAAGGTTGAATGAAAGAGGCGATAGGTATTGATATTATAATGATTTTCCTTTTTTATAATGATGTTAATGTTATCTGTACTGGTGTTCATTTAGGGTGTGTTGGAAACCCCAGCTTAGACACACACCTGAGCAACACCCAGCTTCAGACACAGGGGAGTAAACGGTCATCCAGCTGGCCCAGGAAGGGAGGCGTTTAATAAAGACAATGTACAGTAATTACCTATTTTTCCTCGTCCTTGTTCGTGAGTTGCACAATGAGAGAGAGGAGTCGTGGGATGTGTCTAATTTGATGGTGTGTACATAAACCTTGAGAGGATCGCCATAATTGATAGAGATTACTCGCCACTCAGCTCGGCTTGTGTCGGGCTCTGAGTGACAAGCTGTATGACAAGAGGCGTGCCTCGAGATAGAAAAGTAAAACCGCAATTAACAATGCGTCTTAATACCTCTTGACATTGGTGCTAAATAGAGGTAATGTTTTGTTTTTAGTTTTTAAGAATGTTTAATGTTAGGGTTCGCTATTTCCTATGGACTAGCCAGCAATACGTAACTGA